TGATGCCTGCCCCCACTTAGATGGTAAGGAGAATGAGATCAATGTGTGATGGACTGCACATATCAGAATGTTTCATATTTCTTACATTTTCTTTTAACTGATCAACTTTTTCCTTTGATCATGCCCACGCTATGCCCCAGGGGTTCCCCTGAGTCTGCCAGTAAGGTCCATAGTCATCATTGTACCCTTCTTGGCCCTCAGCCAAAAACAGAAGGCCCAGGGCAGGCCTATGATCACGGGGATTTTTCTCTACACTAAGCACTTAGCAGCAATTGAAGACGTGCTGATGTTATCAGGCTATAGCAGAACAGAAGATTCAAAACAGAAGGGCTGATGTGTTTTCCCAAGCACTGAAACACTTTTTTCAGAAAGCTTATTCAGAAGTTTATTTTGGCTTTAGCAGTTGGAATTCCATGGGTTAATATTTTAAAATGTAAGACACATAGTTCTTCCTTAGGCTTTTAAATTTAATTTGCGAATTTTATTATTCAGTTCACAAACTCAGTAGATCTCTGACTGCATTTTGTGTATCTCACAAAGCTTTCTTGTGACCTGTGTTCGTAAATCATAATGGATACTGAGGACACCAAGCACTAGGAATCTCGGTTTGGGTCTTAGCTTGGGGCTTAAGAGAGGCAAAGGGCCGACTAAAGGGTCTCATTTATGCCTGCAAGAGTTTCAGGACTAAGAAGAAATATATATGCTATTATACTATGTAGATATGTATGCAATGTATCTACATAGTAGATATACATATCTATAATGTATATACTATGTAGATATATATACTATATACAATGTATCTGCAACGTAGTAAATATATCTACATAGTATACTATGTAAATATACATACATAGTTACTATGTATCTAATTTTATACCAATACCATGTTGTTTTGTAGTATAATTTAAAGTCAGTTCATGTGGTGACTCCAGATTTGTTCTTTTTGCTTAGGATTGCTTTAGCTATTCAGGCTTTTTGATTTCATGTGAATTTTGGAATTGTTGTTTTAATTCTGTGAAAAATGATGTTGCTATTTTGATAGGAATTGCATTGAATCTATAGATTGCTTTGGGGACTGTGGTCATTTTACAATATTGATTCATTAATCCATGAGCATGGGATGTATTTCCATTTGTTTGTGTCATCTACAATTTCTTTCAGCAGTATTTTGTAGTTCTCCTTATAGAAGTCTTTTATCTCCTTCGTTAAGTGTATCCCTAGGCATTTTATTTTTTGTAGCAATTGTAAAAGGGATTGAATTCTTGGTTTGATTCTCAGCTTGGTCGTTGTTGGTGTATAACAGTGCTACTGATTTGTGTGTCTTGATTTTGTTACCTGAGAAGTTACTGAATTCACTCGTCAGTTCTAGGAGTCTTTTGGAGAAGTTTTTAAGGGTTTTCTAGGTATAAGATCATATCAAGGTATAAGATCATATTATTGGATATAGAGAGAGTTCAACCTCCTCTTTTCCAAGTTGAATGTCCTTTATCTTTCTCTTGCCCGATTGCTGTGGCTGAGACTTCCAGTATTATGTTGAATAGAATTGGTGAAAGTGAATATTCTTGTCTTGTTCTAGCTCTTAGGTGAAATGCTTTCAACATTTCTCTGTTCAGTATGATGTTGGCTGTCATTCATGGCTTTTATTATTTTGGGGTGTGTTTCTTCTATGCCTAGTTTGTGGAAGTCTACTGTGTACTTCCATAAGCTCAACTTTTTAGATTTCTAGGCTCCTGGGCTCAAGGATCCTCCTACCTAAGCCTCCTAAGTAGCAGGGACTGATTCAGGGGCACACTATCATGTCCAGCCTGGATATTTATTTTATTTTGAGTTAAAACTCATATTAGTGTCGACTTCATGAATGTTTATTCTATTCTGAGTTTACATTCTACACTATTTTAAAAATATTTATTTACACTTAATCCCCAATGTGATGGTATTTTAAAATTTATTTTCATTCTAAAATTGTTCCAGCTTTGGTCATTAGGAGCTCCTTCAGGTCCTTATCCTTTTAAAAATATTTCTGTATTTTCTAGCAGATACTACAGGCTCATCTCACATTTTTCCTTCTCCAGTCCTGAGATTAATTTCTGTCAGGAAAAAATCTGACCAGGTAAACGGTGGCTCAGATGCCTGTAATCCCAGCACTTTGGAGATGCTGAGGAGGGCAGATCACTTGAGCTCAGGAGTTTGAGACTAGCCTGGGAAACAAGGTGAGACCCTCACCTCTAAAGAAACAGAAAAAAAATAATTTCTCAATTAAGTTTATAGAAAAGCTTAGGATAACTAGGCCATGCAGCTTATTGTTACTTGCAAGTAAAAGAATTTGGCAAGGACAAGAAAAAGAAAGCTTTGCCCCATTTCCAGCCAAAACCAGAGGGATGATAGATATGAGAATAGAAGAAGAATATGAGAGCATAACCATTAGTCATACATCTCTCAATTTCTTCTGGTAAGTCTTAGTCTTGGAGAATGAAAGTTTCATTAGATAAGCTGATGACATTGAGGAAAGAGCCCTTAGGTTACACCCTCTTCAGAGTAAATGATGAGGCACAACACGGACAGTCAGAGGGGATGCTCAGGCTTCTTGAAATACTTCCAGCCTCCATGTAGCCTAGATGATGAGTGGAGAGCCAGGGGACCTCTCCAAGAAAACCCTTAACAGCTCAGGCTGAATTGGACTTCCAAATGCAGTCATGTCACCTATGAATCTACAGTCAAGGAGAGCCAGGATGAGGCTGAGTCAGCCAGGGAATGCTACTGGGCCCTAAACAAGCTGATAAACTCCAGATGACACATTACATCAACTACATCAGGCACACTGCAGACAGAGGCTACAGCTCTGCAGACAAAGGGAAGGAAGGGCAGAACACCACAGGGCCATGAATGTCTACCGCTACAATGTAGAAACATACACATTTCCCTCCCCATATACTTGCTTTCCATATAAGAAGGGAATCTGGGGAGGGAGGAGCTTTTGAGAGTTTGGACACATTAATTAATCTCAATGAGAAACGGTTTTCTAAGAGGCTGTTTAACATATTGAATGTGTTTTAGTTGGAATTTACTGAACATATAGTTTGTTTTTCAGCTTTCTTAACAGTGGTATCTCATCAGAATGTCAGATTAGTTATTAACAAAATAAAGACATTGCATTTTTTCCTCCACACAATTGATTTGTAGCAGAAGGAAAATTTTGAGATCTTTCTGTATGAGGATTATTGTAGTTATGTTAGAGATATGAGAAAAATATTCCTAGGAGAGACTGTATATATTATGTATATATATGCCTCCCAAGTTCAAGTCATTCTCCTGTCTCAGCCTCCCACGTAACTGGGATTACAGGCATAGGCCACCACGCCCAGCCAATTTTTTTATTTTTAGTACAGATGGGGTTTCTCTATGTTGGCCAGGCTGGTCTTGAACTCCTGACCTGAAGTGATCTGCCCATCTCAGCTTCCCAAAGCGCTCAGATTATAGGCATAAGCCACCATGCCCAGCCATACTCTTGTAAATATATTTTATGTTGTATAACCTCCAAGATCAATGAGATGAATATGACCAGAGAGATGGTCTGTAGAACATACCCAGGGTAGCACAGAATTTCTTCAGCTCATACACCAAAGGTTGGGTTTTAGAAGGTGTCATGGAGATTTCTAAAAGTTGGTTGGTATGTTATTCACTCAGATATTTCAGTGAAAAGCCATGTGCCTCCAAATGAAGATTGGTGCTGTATTAGTAACAGTTCTCCAGAGAAGAAAGAGCCAGTAGAGCATATATAGATACATAGAAAGAGGTTTATCGTTCAGAGTTGGCTCACACAATTATTGAGGCTGAGAAGCCCCACAATTTCCCATCTGCAAGCTGAGAGACTGGTGATGCAGTTCCAGTCCAAACCCAAAGTTTTGAGAATCTGGAGAGCCAATGTCATAAGTCCTAGTCTGAATCTAAAGGCCCAAGAACCAGAAACACTGATGTCCAAGGGCAGAAGATGGTTACCTCAGTTCAAGAAGAGACAGTCCATTTGCCTTTGCTCTGCCTTTTTGTTCCACTTAGGCCCTTAACAGATTGGATGATGCCTACCTATATGGGTGAGGGAGATCTTTATTCAGTCTATAGATTAAATGCTCATCTTTTCCAGAAACACTCTCACACTTCCACTTAGCAAAAATGTTTCTCCAGGTATCTGAGCATCCCTTAACCCAGTCAAGTTGACACATAAAATCAACTATCACAAGTGCCTAGAGGCTTGATTTCCTGTGTTCCTCCCTTAGACACGAAAATGGGATCTAGCAGTCCTTGGCTCTAGGCCCTCGTTTACATCGACCGAGTGATAATTAGGAGCTCAGCTCTAAGTGTAAAGACAGAGATGAGGAATAAGTGGAGACTAACAGAGTGGGCTGGAGTAAAGCGTGCAAAGAGCAATGGGCACCCTCCCTACCATTGCCCATCACTACTCTTTATCCCATTTTCAGAAAGTTTTAAGCAATAATAATAACAAGATGTTAAGAAGTTTGAAGAGAAGGAGATAATTGTTACTTAAACTGGACAAAGAGGTTTCTTTCACCAGACTGATCCTCCAGCCTCTCTCTGAGGTGATGTATTCTCAGATGCAGCCACATTTACTAGAAAGTGAGGAAAATAATTGTAGATCATTGTGACTATTCCCAAAAGTGAGAAATTGCTTGTAATTTCGTAAACACAAACATCTAATCTAAATTAAACTAAAGATGTGGGAATTCACACAAATAACATTGGATGACTGAAATGCCCTTTTTCCTAAATATATAAAGGCTTTACCCTGAGCTGTCCACATCTGGATCTATGTAGTGCCTTGTAAGAAAGAATAAGACAAGTGAAATAGCCATACACATAGCCCTGGAAAGTTGTATTGCATAAATGTCTGAAAGGGATTTGTGTTCCCTTGGTGCCAAATTGTGTCACAAGGAAGAAATTTCCAAACTGAGAAACCCCACATCACCATACCAGAGCCACTGACGAGATTGAAGCACTTTTTATTCTTTTTGGTGAACTAGAGAATCACATGAATGTGTCTTTGGAGGACACTGCAGGCAACCATTTTCTGTTCCTCTTGGTGCTGGACATCCTTCCACTGCAGGCATTTGTATCCATAACACATTCAAGGCATGCTAACTTGTGGGACCTGCATGGGATCACATCTCAGAGCACTGTCTGTGAACCTCGCCTATGGTGACTTTGTGGGGCGTTGGGAAAGGAAGAAAGGAAGGTGGGTGATTAAAGTGAATGGAAGCAAAACTGCCATTCTCAACTCTGATCTAAAAGGATCATTATGGAGAGGATTACATCCTCCCACCGTAAGCTCTCAGAGAACACTCTGCTAGGGTGGTACGACAAAGACACCATCCTCATTAAGGAGACTTCTGTGCTCAGGTGGCTCCACGAGATCATTTATAGTATAAGGAATAAGTTTTTGCATTTCATTTTGCCATGTACAAGTGATAAGAACATATCCCCTCCTATAAAATGAGTTGTATTGACACATTGGTATATTAGATGCTTTGGTTAAATTACAATACACTCCTTCTACTAGTTTCTTGCTCATGTTACATTTCCTAATCCCATTCTTACATGGCACAAATCTGTTGTAACAGGTTTTTTGCAGCTCGTCATATTGCATAAGAAGGAAGTAATGTTCTGTCACACAACTGTACTTGTAGTAAACATTTTTTCTCATTATTTGATAATTACAGTAGCCACTATCACCTAATGGCATTCCAGGATTAACAAGGATACGTCTTTTGACTTTTTCTTTGGTAGGTGGTCTGGTAGGCCCTGTACTCTGAAATTCCACCATAAAGTCTTCAAAGTCTTCTTTATCTCTATATGCTGGTAAATAAAAATCTTCATAATATGCCTCTTGAAACTGCAGTGGCTGCAGCAGCTGCAGCAGCAATAGAAGCAGAGGCAGTGAGTGTGTGGTGATCAGCATTCTCATCACGTTTCCTGTAGACACTACAAGAGATAAGAAGATATGTTCTATTTCGATAATGTGCTTGCTTCAATTTCCTGTGCAGGGCACGTCTATGCCATTTATTGCTGTTCTGGGCTCTAAGATTTTGGACCATTTTAAAATGGCCAACTCTTAATCTTTCTGAATACTTCTAAATTATTGACAAAAATGACCTTACTAGGCCTACAGTCAACCTAGAGCTGTAGTAAGAGAAGAAAAGGTGAAAGGAAGGAGAATGAGAAAGGGAGAGAAATGAAGGCAAGGAGGAAGAAAAGGAAACAAGGAAGAAATGGAGCAAGAGAGAGATTAAGGAGTGAGGAAAGGAGAAAGGAAATCAAGACAGCAGTGGGGAAAAAGAGAGGGAGGCAGAGAGGAGGCTCACATGCTCCTTCCGGCTGAAACAAAAGCATCTTTTCCCTTTCTAGGAGTTGAGAACTTGCACTGAAAAAAGCCATAAGTGATCCACTCTCCCCTTTTAAACATTCTACTTGATAAGAAAAATTCCTTAACTATGTCTTTCTTTATCTTCTTGATCTTATCTGGCCATAGATGCCCTTGGGGAAGGGACCAAGCAAGGTTCAAGTTTGAGCAGCTGAGATCAATACATTCTTGAAGTCACCCTGAAGTAAAAATAATGACACACAGTAATTGCTAGCATAAGGAGGAGTTCTGTGCCAAACACTGGGCTAAGCACTTTAAGTACATTATTACCCTTATCTAAACAACCCTATAATAAATATTTTTAGTATTGTTGTTGTAACAATAAAAGTTGCAAAAAAGAAGCGTGAAGTTATTAACACCTCTCTGTGAAGGGAAGTTGCTTAAAATCTTACATTAAATCTGGTAGACTCCTGGTTCAAGCCTATTTTTGTCTAATTTCCACACATCTGTTTCTTTGTTTTGTTTTGTTTTTGTTTTGAGACAGTTTCATTCTTGTTGCCCAGGCTGGAGGGCAATGGCATGATCTCAGCTCACCGCAACCTCTGCTTCTCAGGTGCAAGCCTCCTCAGCCTCTGCCTCCCGAGTAGCTAGGATTACAGACATGCGCCACCATGCCCAGCTAATTTTTTGTAGTTTTAGTAGAGATGGAGTTTCTCCATGTTGGTCAGGCTAGTCTCGAACTCCTGACCTCAGGTGATCTGCCCAACTTAGTCTCCCAAAGTGCTGGGATTACAGGAGTGAGCGACGGGCCCTGGCCTCCACACATCTGTTCTTAGCTGCTTTTCTATGGCCTCTGTCCGTCTGGTTTCTCTTCCTAAGGTTAGACTGTATCTCCCTCTCTAGGCTGTTAAACACAATGACTACTGAAATGGCCAGTACTAAAATTGAATTTGAATGCTTTGACAAATTGATCCACATTCCATGAAGAACCAATTGGTTTATTGCAGAAGCAATCTCCCGAGTTTTCTTAACCTTACCAGGCTCTTTGTAAAAGAAGTCCTGATTGGTGGCAACCTGAGTGATTCTCTAACAGTCATAATCTGGAGACTTTGATCTCCAGGAGATGAAGGTGGAGAGCCTCCTGTTCTAGGCTGGATACTAAGTGTGTATACATGTGTATAGAAAGGTTAGAGAATGATGGAATTAAAGAAAGGTGGGTGGGAATTAAAATGGAGACAATAACAAAGTTGAGTGTAGGAGTGCAGAGAATGGGAAAGAAAAGAAAAAGCTGCCTAAAATGGTGAGGGGAGAATGGGCACTCTGGGGTGGCCATGTGCCACATTGTCCCTCCCCTCCCTGCTTTTTCTCCCATCCCTGCTTTCACACTCTCATCAGTGTCCTCTAGGAATTCTCTTCAGAAGAGTGATCCTATAGTGACAGGAGAGCTCAGAACATATTCCCATGAGAGCGTGGAGCCTCTGCAACATCTTGAGCTGGAGAGAACATGGACAGTACACGTGTGGAAAGCAGAATTCAGGCAGCTGTGACCCTGCATTTTCTACTTCCCGAGGACATGCACAGGACCTGTCGGGAACACTCCTTTGTTTTTTAAATCTGCAACCTTCTTAATCCTTGATTAATGAATTCAACTTATGATTTCATTCTTCTCAAAATCCTTTCTCATCTCAAAGTATATGAATTTTTTAATACTCAGTTCTGTTACTACTGATTTTTAGAAGTCTTTTAACCATCTGGAATTTATTTTAACGGATAGTAAGAAGTTAGGTGTGATCTTATTTTACATGGTTTATGCATAATCTCAGCACTAATTATTTCGGGAAAAAATCTATTTTCTCATTCCTACTTTTAAAAGCTACTTTCTATGTGTAACTATTCTGTTTCTGAACACTTTAGTGTGTTTTGATATGCCAATAATATGCTGTTTTGCTTATTACCATTTTACTGTGTGGTTTTTTTTTGTTTTTTTTTTTTGAGTCGGAGTTTCGCTCTTGTTACCCAGGCTGGAGTGCAATGGCGCAATCTCGGCTCACCGCAACCTCCGCCTCCTGGGTTCAGGCAATTCTCCTGCCTCAGCCTCCTGAGTAGCTGGGATTACAGGCATGCACCACCATGCCCAGCTATTTTTTTGTATTTTTAGTAGAGACGGGGTTTCACCATGTTGACCAGGATGGTCTCGATCTCTTGACCTCATGATCCACCCCCCTCGGCCTCCCAAAGTGCTGGGATTACAGGCGTGAGCCACCGTGCCCAGCCTTACTGTGTTTTTTTTGAGTCATGATTGTGAGGCTGGTTGCCTCGCCGGGACCTCAGACATGCCCATCCCTCTCCACGCCTGAAAACTATGTCACCACTCCGCTCTCGACATCAAGCCCTGCACTCAGCATCTAGCTCCACCACGTAGCTTCCCCAACACCCACTTCTGCACTCTGCACCCAAATCTGCACTCAACACTAGACTCTGCACTGGGCACCTTGCCAGCCGTTGGAAAAACCCCGCCAAAATTTAAAAGAAGCCCCGCCAAAACCTGCCCAATAGCATTTGGCCCGGTCGAGGGCCCGCTCCCCATGGGCAGCCCGCTCACCGGAAATCCCGCCTACCTAACAACAGCAGCTTGCCCCGTCCACCTCATGTTCCCTCATAACCAAGCAAGACACCCTCGCTCACTATAAAAGCCCTACTCCGCGGGAAGCCACGCGCGACTTCTCTGGCCCCTTTTCCTGGGACCATGGAACCTCGCCCCGGAGCTGAATAAATTGGCATTTAATTTTCTTATACTGGCCTCAGTTTCCTCATTTTAAACTCGGCAATAACCCTTACAATGATCTCACCTGGTTGCCTCAGCTGACTCAGAACTCCTGGATTCAAGGAATCCTCCCACAGACTACCAAGCAGCTGGGACTACAAGTGCACCCCACTGTACCTGCACTTATTATCATTTTATGAAACATTTTGGTATCTCATAAAGCAATCTACACTCATTCCTCTTCTTATTCAGATGTTCACTACGGAGACAAACAGATAGCAGATTACAGGGTGCCTGGGGCGGGTGGTAGAAATGGGGATTAACAATAAATGGGAGAAAGGGAGACAGAGGAGAGAGAGAGAGAGAGAAGCAGGGAGGGAGTGAGGGAGAATCTCACACAGCAGAAACGCCAGGTCTACCTGTGGAATGTAGGCTTCTTGGATTTTTCTCAGTTCTCACTAATTGAAATTTCTGTGGATGATCCATAAATTTGCATTTTAAACAAATTTACAAGGTGATTCTTAGGTCACTAAAGTTGAAGAAGGAATTTCTTAATATGCATTAAAATGAACTTGTGATAAAGCTAACATCCTAAAACAGTGAGGAAAGTGTTTGGCCTTTTCAGTAAATGTCTTTGGAAGAAGAATGGGATGAGTTGCTTCCTCTTTCTGACTATTGTGAATCACGTTGCTATGAACATGGGTGCACAAATATCTGTTCAAGTCCCTACTTTTCCTCCCTGCTTGTAAATTTGCTTGGAAGGTTTATTGCAACTTAGATTTGCCGACTGAGAAAGGCCTGAGAGGGGCTATCTAGTCTCTCTCCTAAAATGCAAGTTCTGAGCACCAGATCAGAACTCTGTATTTAACCACAGACATAAGAAGTTTATAGTAAAAAGAAAAAACTGGAATGAGTAATGGGCTTGTAGGTGGACCAATATATTTCAGAAGTATTAAGTGGTATTTAAAATTTTTAACTTTAAGATTAAAATTAAAATTTAAAATTGGTTTAATCTTTTTTTGAACAGCTTATACAATGAAGCCTTAATAAATCATGATCATATAATAATTATATAGCCTCAATCACAAAAGGAAAAACTAAATTAAATCTTTTAAATTGGCAATAATTATAACTTACAAACTCAATGCTGATGAGAGTCTGATGAGATGTTTCTGATCGGAAAGAAATTATTATAATTTTTTTAAATTTGAGAAATATAATAAAAATAGCTGATACTTTCCTCTAGCATTTCAATAGCTAGAATTGTAAGTTGCCATAATTTAGATTGAAAGACAACCAGCAAATTTTACTTAAAAGGGAAAAAATTGAAATTTTAAAATATAAGTATCCCAAAATGTGGGAAAGGAAAAGCCTACATTGAGTCTCATATGTTCATAGAAATGACAATAAACATTGCAACACTAATGACTATTATTATAAGAGCTAATATTTATTGACACACTCATTAGTTTATATTCTTAGAATTGTATATTCTTAGAATGGGCTATTTTTTAGAATTTACAAATATATTAATCAAAATTTTAGATCATCTGAGAAACGAGAATAGAACAAATTTAAATTAAATTAAATTAAAAATTTTAGAGATATGAAATACTTTGTGATATAATATAGTATTAGGACTCTCTGGGTGACAGTGAGAAAAACTCCAAACAAATTACCTTAAATGCAAGAGGCACTATATTGACACAGAAGTTGGAAGTCCAAGAGGTAGGGCAGGAGAAAGAAATCAAATTCTTGTCTAGACTCTTGTTTTTACTCTCTTCCACTCTATTCTCCTTTGTATGCTAACTTCATTCTCTTATAGGGTCTCTCCATGTAATGACAGAGTCAATCATTGCCACCTTTGTGGCCTTATATTTAGGGTCACAGTAGGAAGTGCCATTCTCTGCCACCTTCACCCAACATGGAAAAGAACTTTTCTGATTGGCCATGCTTCTGTCATATGAATAAATCCAGGGATGTGGAGCACTCTCATTGGTTACCTGAAACGCATGTCCTCTTTGAGAAGCAAAGGCAAAGAAGTAAAGGTAAAATTAAAACCCAACAGAATTCCAATTGTCAACAGAAAGACTGTTCCCTTTACACAAAAAAGGAATGGGGATGAAATCCAAAAGTAATAAAAGTGCTTTGCTGTTTACCTGGGGGAAAATCAAAATACTCTATCTACAGCATGTTCACAATTAACAGAAATATAGATACATAGGAAAGAAAAAAAAAGAAAATTTTAATAAGTTGTTATTTCTGAATGATTTATTTCTGTTTTTTTACTTTAATCTTTAAAATTGTCAATTTTACAAATTCAAACAAATAACAAAATGTCATCGAAGAAGTGAAGTTTTCAGATCTGGATTGGACATGTTCTTAAATATTGAGAGCTAATTTTCCAGACTCCCACATTTTTACTTTTTTTTGACTCCCACATTTTTATATCAGTAAACCCACTTTTCATCAGCATCAGAAAAATCTATTCCTTAGTTTGAGTGGTTGAGAAAAGATAGATTATACAATTTCAATCCTTAGAATTAGACCAACCTTTGTGAATAAATCCCAGGGTAGCTCTTAGTTAAATCCAGTAGAAAAATATAGGTTTTAACCAGCTTTAAATTTTCACAAACATTTTGAGGCAATATTTATGCCTCAAATCTTCACACCCATGATTGAACTGAGAATGGTATCAGGATGGGAAAATCTGGAGGAAAAATGTTATTCTTGTGAGTAAGAGAATCAGCAAGTTCACTGATACATTATGTCTTTTGCCCAATTGAAGACATTTCCTCCCTTAGGGCCACTATAAAAACTTGAGTGTCAGAGCTTAAAGCAGCACACGTACTAGACGTACAGAAAACAAGTGTTTCTAAATAATTGAAAATCAACTTTCAGAGCTTGAAGAGAGTAATTTTCATATATGAAGTCAAAGCAGGTCTGGGTTCACAGAAATCTCTTCAGAATTTATTGAATTTTTTTGCAAATTTATTTTTATTCATATCTTATTTAGCTTTTTAATTGTACAATTCCTCAAAATTTTAAAAAGACTTAGATATTTATGTTTCCTGTAATGATAGTGTGAGTCTAGAAGGCATAGACTGAGATGTGGACTCTGGTTTTGTTTGATTTCATTAAGTCGGTATTTCTCAGGGATCAGGAATAGCAGGAAAATTGAAGTAGGGAATGTACGAGAATAGGCTATCTCATAGATTTGGCATTGGAAAAGGAAATAAATCTGGTGAAATGGTAGGTTCTATATTAAGAAAAAAATAACATAGATGCTAGTTTTCATGTCATGCACACACATACACACTCCACAATTTATGATGAACTAGAGATCAAAGTAATATTTTAAGAACAATAGCAAGGATATTGAATTAAAATATAGCAGAATATTTTTAATCATTTTTGAGTAAATAAAAGATGTTCTTATTAAAAAATACAAGAGCACAGGCATAAAGAAAATTACTGAAAGACTTGATTACACACACATAAACTGAATTGCATACCATATACATGAGTGCACAGAAAATTTCACCATGAACAAATAACAAAATAAGAATCTCTAAAGTCACCAAGTATAAGATTCAAAGACCACAAACAGCTTAAAAAAATACTTTCTAAACGTGCAGTGTGAACGAGCTTTATTTACCTTTACATGTGAGTGTTGGTTGGCATCGTCAAAGTTTCTCTTTCTGTCATAAATGGCCTTACTATGAGCAGAGTTTTTCCTCTGCCTTTCAGGTATCTAAGAATTTCATCCTAATACTATTAACTTCCACTTGAACCATCAAGGCCCAAAGATATGACAACTTCTTGTGTTATAGAAACAAAGAGGTTCTCTCTTTTCCAGTCTTCTACAGCAATAAAAACTAAATGCCAGTCTAAAATATGACAAGGTAGAAAATGTCACTTTAAGAGGGCTGTATAACATGGTTCATATCATGTTTGCTGCCAGTCTTGATTCAGACTGTATTCATCATGAGCCAGTCACCCTAGTCTCTTCCTTTCTTCTTCTGGGTCCTTATGTCTGTGAAGAGAAACTAATGGGTCTCAGTCTGGTATAGCCCCAAGCAGCACCTGAGGCTCCGTATACTTTTAGAGAACCAAAATATTTTAGACCTGTCTTTAAAAAACAAGAGAGAAAATTAGCAAGATGATAGAATAAAGATTCTCTGGTATCAGTCCCTCCCCAAAAATATAATTAGAAACTACTCAAAGACAAGAATATCACCCTGAATCCCTGAATACAACAGAACTTGGGAGAGAAGTGGAGAAAACCCCTTGGTCCACAGAATCAAAACAAACCACCACCAGTAAGAGAAATAGCCATTTTAGACTGTGCCAACCATTTCCCTCCCCTCGCCTTTTTTTTTATCCTAATCAGCAGAAAAATGTGAAAAGTCGAGACTGGCCAAGCCTCCCAACCTACATCTTCCTCCTGTGCTGGATGCTTCCTGCCCTCAAACATCAGACTCCAAGTACTACAGTTTTGAGACTCAGATGGGCTCTTGCTCCTCAGCTTGCAGATGACCTATTGTGAAACCTTGTGATTGTGTGCATTAATACTTAATAAACTGCCCTTTATATATCTATCTATCCTATTAATTCAGTGCCTCTAGAGAACCCTGACTAATACAACTCCCTGCAGCATTCAGCAGTGGAATGTTGATCACTATTCCCTCTAAAAGGATCAGAGGGAATAGTGACTATTCCTATTAGCCATACTAGAGAAAGTAAAAAATGATAGGGCATTAGAGCACTCAGGAAGCTCTGTCCTCAGTAGTGGTTGATAATTAGCCCCAGACTAAGGACTTCTTCAGAGCTGCCTAACAAATCATAAAATCAAGATCCAAAAGGATCCAAGTGGTTCCAAGTAGCTTAACTGTATCCTTGAACAACACTCAAAAAGATTTATGGAAATATACAAATACTCCTTTAAGGTAAGCCGACAATGTAGAAACGAAAACATCTGAAATCCAATCAAAAATTACCAAGCATGTAAAAGAGCAGGAAAACACAAACCTTCATGAGGAGAACAATCAATCAATGGAAACAACTGTTTACAGTTACAGAAGAGTTACAAATTTCAGAATTAACAGAGAAACAGTTATCACAACTGAATTCCACATGGGCAAAAGGATAAGTTGAGTTTTAGATGATAAAAATACAAAACCAAATCAAACTTTTAGAAATAAAAACTACAATGTGTGAAATTAAAAAAAAAATATGCTGCTTGCCATTAATGGCAGATTAGAAATTGTGAAAGAAAAAATAGTATACGGTAAATGCAAGTGGCTCTGGAGACTCTAAAGGGGAGAACTGGAAAAATCAAAATTTTTTGAAGATATAATGACCAAAAGCTTTCAAAATTTGATGAAAAGTATACACTCACAGATACAAAAATCTTAGCAAGCTCAAAGCACAAAACATGAAGGAAATATACCAAGGTATATAAATGCTCGAAGTGGGGGCGGGGGGGAGAAAACAGTGATAGGGAAAGCCTTAGAAGTGATCCATAACAAAAGGCATGTTATGGTCAGTGCCAGGCACAGTGGCTCACTCTCGCCTGTAATCCCAGCACTTTGGGAGGCCAAGACAGGTGGATCACCTGCGGTCAGGAGTTTGAGACCAGGCTGGCCAACATGGTGAAACCTCATCTATACTAAAAATACAAAAATTAGCAGGGCATGGTGGTGCATGCCTGCAACCCTAGCTACTCTGAAGGCTGAGGTGGATGAATGGCTTGAAACCAGGAGGTGGAGGTTGCAGTGGGCCAAGATTGGGTCACTGTACTCCAGTCTGGGCAAGAGAGTGAGACTCTAAAAAAAAAAAAAAGATGTGTTATGACCAGAGAATCAAAGGTAAACTTGACAGTAGATTTTTCATCTGAAATAATATAAGAAAGACTACAATGCAAAAGCGTCATTAAGGTTCTGAAAGTATGAAAAATGAAATTCCTGCAAATTCTATACCTTGTAAAATATCTTTCAAAAACTCAAGCAAAATAAACACAAAACATAAAGAATTTATCACCAGCAAATCCACATTGCAAGATATATTTTAAAAAGTTATACAGGTAGGAAGAAAATGGAGATCTACATCTATATAAAGGAAGAAAGAATGTTATAAATGGTAGCTATGTATGATTTTTCTCATTACTGCTGGGTGCAGTGGCTCACACCTGTAATCTCAGGACTTTGGGAGGCTAAGGTGGGTGGATCACCTGAGGTCAGGAGTTTAAGACCAGCCTGGCCAACACGGTGAAACCCCATCTCTACTAAAACCACAAACATTAGCCAGGCATGGTGGTGGGCATCTGTAATCCCAGCTACTCGGGAGGCTGAGGCAGGAGAATTGCTTGAACCTGGGAGGTGGAGATTGGAGTGAGCCAAGATTGCGCCACTGCACCCCAACCTGGATGACAGAGCAAGACTGTCTCAAAGAAAAAAAGTAATTATTATATATGGTATAATGTGGTTTACACTATATGTAAAAGTAAAATGCATCACAATATAAGCACAAAATCTGAGAGGAGATAGAAGTATATTATTGTAGGGTTCTTATGCTATAGAAGTAGTATATGAGTTGGTGGCCAGTTGCAGTGGTTCAGGCCTGTAATCCCAGCACTTTGGGAGGCCAAGGTGGTTGGATCACCTGAGGTCAGGAGTTTGAGACCAGCCTGGCCAATATGGTGAAACCCCATCTCTACTAAAAAAACAAAAATTAGCTGAGCATGATGGCTGGTGCCTGTAATCCCAGCTACCTGGGAGGCTGAGGCAGGAGAATCACTTAAACCTGGGAAGTGGAGGTTGCAGTGAGCTGAGATCACACCACTGCACTGTCTGGGTGACAATAGCAAAACTCTATCTCATAAGAAAAATAATAATAAAAAAATAATATCCGTTGAAAGTAGGCTGTGGCAAATTAAAGATGTGTACTATAAATCCTAATGAAACCATTGAAGTAACAAAACAAAGAGTTATAGTTAAAAAGCCAACCAAGGAAATAAAATGGAACATAAAAAAATACTTGATATATCCAAATGAAGGCCAAAAATACATCAAAAAACAGAACAAAGAATAGATGGGATAAATACAAAAACATCAACACATTAAACTCAGACTAACCATATCAATAATCTCATAAATGTAAATGGTCTAAACATACCAATTAAAAGCCAGATGTAGACTGGATTTAAAAAAAGAAGACTCAACTATACACTATCTATAATAAATGTATATTACATGAAAACACAAAGAAATTAACTATAAAAGGATGTGAAAACATACACCATGCTAATGCTAGTCAAAAGAAAGCTGGAGTGGTTATATCAATAGTAGACTATATAGATTTCAGAAGGAAGAATATTACCCAGGCTCAAGAGCCATTTCCAAATGATAAAGGGATCCATTAATCAACAGGACAGAACAATTCTAAACACTTAAGCCACTGAAAACATGGCTTCAATTTATGTGAAGCAAACATGGAAAGAACTGAAAGGGGAAATGGACACATCCATAATTGTAGCCTGAGTTTTCAATATGTATTCTCAATAACTGGTAAATCAGGAAGGCAGAAAATCAGCAAGAGTATTGAAGACTTGAACAACTTTATCAATCAACCTCCCATAACTGACACTTAAAGGATGCACAGTGACAGCAGAGTACACACTTTTTTCAAGTGCACATGGAACATCCACCAGGATATACCATATTTTATGCCAAAGTGTAGGTCAAACAAAAAACCAAAAGGGAAGTTGGGAAATATTTTGATCTGAATGAAAACAATAACAGCATAACAAAACTTGTGGGATGCTGTTCAAGCAATATTGAGGAAAAAACTGATAGGCACTATACATCTATGTTAGAGGCAAAGCATGTCTATGATAAAAGACTATTATCCAGAAAACTCAACAATAAAAATGCAAATAGTGCAACTTTAAAATAGGCAAAGTATTTTAACAGACATTTCAAAAAAGAAGATGTATGAATGGCAAACACATAAAAAAGATGCTCAAAATCATTAGTTTTTAGGGAAATGCAACTTAAAATCACAATGTGATACCAATAGGCACCTATCAGAATGGGTAAAATTAAAATGACCGACTTTAGTAAGTATTGGTAAAAATGTTGAGGAACTGGATTTCTCCTAGATCGCTGGTAGAATTGTAAATGGTAAACCAAATTGGGAAGCAGTCTGGCAATTTTTACAAAAAAGATAAACAACATCCACAATGAGATCCAGCCATTCCCTCCTAGGTATTTCCTCAAGAGAAAATAAAATTTTCTGCAGGCACTTTCTCACTTAGAGATTAAAAAAATAAAAATAAATAAATAAAATAAAATTTATGTCCATATAAAGACTTTTACATGAACACAGACAGTATTTTTATTTGTAATTGCCAAAACCTGGAAACACCCCAGATTTTTACCATTTATTCATTTATTCAGGTAGATGAATAAATAAATAGTGATATAGCCATTTAATGAAATATCACTCAGCAATAAAAAAGGAATGAATTATTGATACACACAACAACATAAATGAATCTCAGAATGATTAAGTGGAGTGGAAGAAGCCAGACAAAAAAATAGTATGTAGCATATTATTAGTCAATTTCTATAAAATGGGAGTTAACCTATAATGAAAAGAAAGTAAATTGGCCAGGAGCGGTGGGTGGCTCATGCCTGTAAGCCCAGCACTTTGGGAGGCCAAGGCAGGCGGATCACCTGAGGCAGGGAGTTCGAGACCAGCCTGACCAACATGGAGAAACCTCGTCTCTACTAGATATACAAAAAAAAAAAAAAAAAAAGTTCGCAGGGCATGGTGGTGCATGCCTGCAATCCCACCTACTCAGGAGGGTGAGTCAGGAGAATTGCTTGAACCTGGGAGGCAGAGGCTGCAATGAGCCGAGATCACACCATCACACTCCAGCCTGGGCAACAAGAGTGAAACTCCGTCTCAAAAAAAAAAAAAAAAAAAAAAAAAAAAGTAAATCAGTGGCATCAGTGGCTGCTTGGGGTGGGGACAGGAGGACTAACTCAAAGACATAAGGAAATTTTGTGGGTTTTGGATGTGTTGACTATACTGATTGCAGTTATGATTTAATGGGTATAGATATATGTGCTTTTGATATTAGACTATGTAAATATGTGCAGTTTATTGTATGTCAATTATACCTCAATAAAGCTTTTTAAATATCAAAATATGAAGCCATATAACAAATCTTGGGTGGTGATTTGCTGATCATTTGCCAAACTCTTAGAATTTTCAACTTGAAAGTCTTTGCCAGGGAGAGAAAACAAAGTCTTGGCCCCACAGAAGTTGAGGAGTTGGAAAAGGGATCACCATACAACTTGTGACTTTGAAAGATTTGAGGGCTGATCAAGAAAAAAAAAAATACATATACACACACACACATATATATATATATATACACACACACACATACACATATGACCACGATGTGGCAGTAGCACACAAGCTTTAGTTAGGTGGTGCTTGCATGAGTTTGCACATGAGTGAAGTCCCTCCCAGCAGATTTTCCAGTACTGGGGCACAGAGGGGACACTATTCAGAAGAGGGAAAGGGGAATCAGAGAGGACGATTATGTGTCTAGATGATGTCGCCCAGCAAAACAAAGTAGGCCCCCATGTTCCACAAGCCCTGCATTAGTGTGTGGACTATTCTCACAGGGGCTGAAACCAAGACTCATTGAATATTGGCCTTTAAATGAAAGTCTGATAATTGGCTTGGCTCCAGGAATCTGCCCAGCTTGTCACTTTATACCCAAACAGTGAGCGTAAATGCAGAAGACACACAGAAAAGAATACATAAAGTTGAATAGTGCAAAGCCTAAAAGGAAAATAAAATACGAAAGTCATGGCAGTGCACACAAGGGAGCTGTGTATTGAGGGCACAATCTAGTCAAGAGAAGAGAGCATGGAAATTGGATGAGGAAGGGATATAAAAGGACAAGAGGGAAAGGCAAAAATAGCTGGATGTGGTTGTGCGTGCCTGTGACCTCAGCTACTTGAAAGACTGAAGCGGCAGGGTTACCTGAGCATGGGGTCGAGCCTGCAGTGAGCTGTGTTTATGTCACTTCGCTCCAGCCTGGGGAGTAAAGTGAGACCCTGTCTCAAAAAAATAAAAAAGAAGAAGGTGAAAAGTATAAGGAAGGGGGAAGTGATCACACTTTGTGTGGGCAGGGTCAAGGGTTTATCTTCCCAACCCTGCCTAGAATCTCATATTCCTCCTCTAACAGGCATCTGTTTCCTGTACCCAGGAGAGATCTCCAAAAGGACATTTAATATGACAGGTCAGACAGCTCAGCCCACATTTCCATAGAGAACATGGGGTTCCTGGAACAGCCTGAGCTGAGGAGGATGAGGATAACACATGCATAGCAGCCTAGTCCAGAGCTCTCACATTCCCAGGCTCTGCCAGCTCTTGTGGCCATGTCCTCTGACCCTATGTGTGACAAGCCTCAAGGCCTGTTCAATCCTCCAATGAGGACATGAACTTAAAGACCAACCAAGTTGACTGAGGCAAGCCTCTTACCTAAAGAAGGTTTAGCTGCCGGGCGCGGTGGCTCACGCCTGTAATCCCAGCACTTTGGGAGGCCGAGGCGGGAGGATCACGAGGTCAAGAGATCAAGACCATCCTGGCCAACATGGTGAAACCCCGTCTCTACTAAAAACACAAAAAAATTAGCTGAGCGTGGTGGCACTCGCCTGTAGTCCCAGCTACTCGGGAGGCTGAGGCAGGAGAATTGCTTGAACCTGGGAGGTGGAGGTTGCAGTGAGCCGAGATCGAGCCACTGCACTCCAGCCTGGCGCCTGGTGACAGAGTGAGACTCTGTCTCAAAAAAAAAAAAAAAAAAAAAGGGTTTAAGAGGAGAGGGGAGTGTCAACAAGGAGGCAAAGCAGTTAGATGTGCAGAGGCCTGGAAACTAGAGTGGGGCTTAGCTCACATTGCTCTCGGGAAAGACAGCAAATGTACCAATTTGCTTTCCTGAGGGGAGTGCATGAGAATGTCCCCTTCCTGTACCTCTGCCCCTACTACGTTATATTTTTTATCTTATTTTTGTGGATTGGGTAGGTAAATATGATAGCCCATCGTTTAAATTTATATTACATTTACATCTTTTTCTTATTAAACTGATGACCTGTTTATATATTAAAGATATAGATCCTTTTGACATATTGAATTCTTTTCAATTATCTGCTTAGCACAGTGTCCTTATCGAGTCATAATTAAAATAATCATAATGGTTTACCATTTAATCCTGAAAACAATCCTGTCAGGTAGAATTTCTTCAGGAGCATTCTACCTTTATTTTTCTGCATGGTTATAAGCAAGTTTGCTTTTTTCCATCAAATAAAGATGAGTAGCTAAAAGTGTGGCCTACAGAATCAGACTGTCCTCGTTGTTCCTGGGGGCCCACCTATTATACATGTGACCTTGTACATTGCTCTAATCTCAATCTGCCTTTCAAGATTTATCTGCCATTATTTTGCTGTACAAACCTGCCCTAGTCAGTCAGTGTGACTGTCTCTTTTTTAAATATACCCTATGCCATTTCTCCCATTTAGCTTCTTTCTTGAATGGCTGTACTTTTCTGCCTCTTGAAACCCTTCAAAGCCCAGTTCAGATCTCATTCTTTATTTTACACATTTCATCACTGCTTAAGTCTACTAAATCCATTTCCAACTTCTCTGAGCTTCTTAGCATTCCCTTATTATACTTTTTATTTGATGTTATTATGTATAAACTTTTTAAAAATTAGATTTGAATTTAAAATGTCTATGTGAGAAACTAGAGCAAAAACCTAGCACCAAGAATACATAAGCTTTAATTGGGTTGATGGATTACTGATAGATTATTAAGAATTAAGTATATGTGTTCATGTGTGTACCTGAGGGTGCCTTGACCAAAGACGTGATGCATTTTGAAGGGAGAAAGTATGAGGGATTTATAGAGAATTGATTTTGTTTCATAAACTTCTATATCCTATATCATTGACATCAATCGTGAGGTAGTAATAGGGAAACAGAAAGACCAGGAGGAGAAAAATAAATAGAAGAGCAGGGCAGAGATTTCCAGTCTTTCTGAAACATGTATTTCAAGTGGGCAGCATTCACAGTTGCCTGGGTTTTATTTCAAACTGCTAAGAGGTGCCCGTTAAAAAATATATATACCTGGCCAGGCACAGTCACTCATGCCTATAGTCTCAGTGCTTTGGGAGGTCAAGGTGGGAGGATCACTTGAGGTCAGAAGTTCAAGACCTGCCTAGGCAACATACTGAGAATCCACCTCTATGACAACAACAACAACAACAACAACAACAAGCCAATTGTGGTGGCACATGCCTATAGTCCCAGCTACTCAGGAGGCTGAGGAGAGAGAATTTCTTGAGCCCAAAAGTTTAAGACTGCAGTAAGTTATGATCACATCACTGTACTTCATCCTGGGCAACAGAATGAGACTCTGATTTGGTATATCTGTAATATATATATATATTACATATTTAGATACAGATAGATAGATATAGATACACACACATACCCAAACTACAAATGTCCAAAATGTCACAATTCATTTGAATTTAGTGTTGATCCCTATTGAATGAAATTACTCTGAGGATAGATCCTATTGTTCCATCTCAGTTCTACTTTTATCTGCAAGATTTTATTTTTAATTAGAAAAGAGGAGGTTGGGGAAGGAAGGGAAGGAAAAGCACTGAAAAGGAAAGAAAAGACAGCAAAACTTAGGAAGAGGGATAGGAAAAGGAACCAGAATTCAGAAAATAGATGTAGAAACCTAAAGGATACATTTCACCCACTTCCAGGTTTTGCCCAGAAAATGATGTTACCAAGACCTAACAAATCATATGCTAGGGACCACCTACCTGTTCCTGTTCAGTTTCTATTCAGATGCTGAGGGCTCAGTTTACCTGGTAACACCCAAAATTCTATGAAGACAACAATGACCACAGAATTACCACAGAGAACTAGAAAATGAAATTCAGCTGAAAAATAGCCACCTAAGATGGAAGAAGCCATGAGATGGGTAAGCTTTGCCTACTCACAAGGTTGCAAAGTGCCCTTCACTTATGATTATACCCCACCCCCCTCCTAAATCTGATCAATCAGATAGAGCTTGATGGTTACAAAAGACAAAGCTAAAAAACTAGTATAGGCCAGGCGTGGTGACTCATGCCTGTAGTCCCAGCACTTTGGGAGGCTGAGGCAGGCTGATCACGAGGTCAAGAGATCGCGACCATCTTGGCCAACGTGTGAAACCCCGTCTCTAGTAAAAAACACAAAAATTAGCTGGGCGTGGTGGCCCGCGCCTATAGTCCCAGCTACTCAGGAAGCTGAGGCAGGAGAATTGCTTGAACCCAGGAGGCAGAGATTGCAATGAGTGGAGATTGCGCCACTGCACTCCAGCCTGGTGCCTGGCGACAGAGCAAGACTCTGTCTCAAAAAAAAAAAAACAAAAACCTAGTATAAGTGCACCTTCTTCTTTGATATGACCTTGAACTTCGTCCAAATAAGCAACGAACAGCTGAAGTCTCTCAACTGAAAAGATCAGGACAGAGAGTGCTCTCTAAAGCTTGTGACCCACTCATGCCTGCTCCAGGTCACTGGATGAGTCTCTGGCTCTCACTTCCAGGATTGAAATGCCATAGCTCAGAATTAGTGATGACATAATCTGGCCTCTACTTTCCAAGTACCCCTTATTTGTTACTATTTCACAATACAAATTCTCCCCTCCAACATTGGCTATAATATAGCCATTTTCTTTACTACCTAAGAAATAGAATTACAGACTAATAGACTTGGAAAGAACTTGAAAGATTACCTAATTCAAGATCCTCACTTTACCAATGAGAAAACTAATGAACAGAGAAAAAGAAGACTTCATGAAATCACCAGAATTAGGAGCCTCTCTTTCTTTTCCTTCTCCTTCTAGCTGTAAGGATACTACACCCATAGCTGAATGTGGGGAAACTAAGCAATAAGTTCAATTCTAAGAACTAAAAAGAGAAAGGAGTTAGTAGTCTGGCTCAAAGTCCTCTCTGTTCCTTCTAGAGATGCAAAGAGGAGATCATTGAGCTCTGAGAGTCTCAATCCCCTGGGAAATCCTTATCCATGCTGCTTTAAAGTCTTGAAGGGAAACAGTTTCAGACCAATCAGGCTCCTTGCTTTATTTCAAGACACAAAAATAGCTGCTGAACAGGAACAAATGCAGCTTGAGTTGTATATGCCATCTTTTAAAAAGACCCTAAGAGGTGTTCCCAGTTGCTTCTCCAGCTAGGAGCAGGGCTAGGATTAGGCTGAGGTTAATGAGACACTCATTCCAAGGCCAAAATTTAAGAGAGTACCACAAAACTCAATAATCAAGATAAATAATATTTTAATGCAACATTTTTAGAAAATAAATTTTGATTGATTTATTTATTTTGAGACACACTCTTGCTCTGTTGTCCAGGCTGGAGTGCAGTGGCATAATCTTGGCTCACTACAACCTCCACCTCCTGGGTTCAAGCAATCCTCCTGCATCGGCCTCCCAAATAGCTTGGATTACAGGCATGCACCACCACACCTGACTAATTTTTGCATTTTTGGTAGAGACAAGGTTTCACCATGTTGGCCAAGCTGGTCTTGAACTCCTGATCTCAAGTGAACCACCCACCAATCTCCCAAAGTGCTGGGATGACAGGTGTGAGCCACCACATCTGGCCAGAAAATAAATATAACACAAAAAAATACCTGATGAACAAATGCTAAAATTTTAAATACCAGGATCTGACCCTGCACTAGTAAAACTCATGTAAATCATCTTACCCTAATCCTAGCCTTGTCAGATTGGATCTTCAAAATTTTGTGATAGATATTTTGAGCATCCAAGATTTTTGCATTAATTTTGATTATTTAAAAATACTGAAATCAAGTCCAGGTGTGGTAGCTCATGCATGTAATCCCAGCATTTTGGGAGGCTGAGGCAGGTGGATCACCCGACATTAAAAGTTCGACACTAACCTGACCAACATGAAGAAATCCCATCTCTACTAAAAATACAAAATTAGTCAAGCATGGTGGTGCATGCCTGTAATCACAGCTACTTGGGAGGCTGAGGCAGAGAATCACTTGAACCCAGGAGACAGAGGTTGCAGTGAGCTGAGATTATGCCATTGCACTCCAGCCTGAGCAATAAGAGTGAAACTCCATCTCAAAAAAAAAAAAAAAAAAGAAATCAATTATATTTATCTAGGTTACTAGGTTTTTGGTTTTTTGGTACCCTCTTAAATTTTACACCTCAAGTGAGTATCTCACTTACTTTGTCTTAATCCCAGTTCTGTCTCTCATGAAATGACCAGAGACAAGAGACAAACAAATTAAAACACATGTAGAATTTATGGTTTAATTCAGTAAAGATTCTTTTATTGAAGCAGAATAAAACAACCCCAACTCAGCAGTACAGGAAGGATAAATTCCTTACCAGTGACTTCCCCTTCCACTCAAGGCATTGCCCCATGTCCATGTTCAGGTCTGCCTCAGGGACAGCCAGCTCCAATGCCATTGAGAAAAGAGAGCTCAATCTCCGGCACTGATCTTGAGTTATTTAACATAGCCCTGGAAACTCTCTGGCCCCAACTCATCACAAGTGATAAGAACAAACCCCTCTGTGGGGAAATAGCGGTAACTACAGGCAGGGTATCTTGTTCCTTCAATGAGCTGACAGACTGTCATTTTGAATTTTGTCTCACTCTGAAAGCAGAAAGTGGCCGAAAGGTTTTGACAAGCTACCTTCTTGGGAGAAGTGCAAAGACCATTGATTTTTCGAGGCCTCTCATGGATGAAGACATGCTCCTTTTTACAAGTGTGGTCGGGCTCCCTGATGATTCTTTGTATGATCATGTGGTTGCAGTACCTTGCCGGAACGGGAACACCTTCCTGAGGGTAGTCCACATGCAAGTGTTCTAAGGTTGATATCATTACTTCATTATTCACCTGATTTTCCCAGAACAGAAGCACCAAGAAAATGATCACCATTATTACCATCACGGGTGAGAGTGCCTTCACATCTTTGGCTTTAACTGCTGTTGAGTAAGACAAGACAGAAAGTAGCAAAGGACAGTCAGATTCCTCCTGCTCCAACTTCTGGCTGCTCCCCCATTTTTGGAATATTTTATTTCCTTCTCTCTGCTAAATAAAATCACGCTGACCTTGCAAGATCCAGCTAGAGGCATAGTTCCCCAAGAAAGCCCTTTCTGACCATTTCAGCTCTCAGACTTTGAAACTGAGCTGTTCTCTAAATTATTCCTGTTGTGTTTGTTTTGTTTCTACAAGTTCTTTGACAGCAGATACCACATCTCTTATTTCTCAAATCCTTCAAAGTACTCAACATAGAGCTGGACATATAGAAGGTGGTCAAGGTTATTCAAATTCCTGAATAACCTTCTTTCCCATTATTTTCTCAACCCTAACTCCACCCAATTGCACATGAATTTAGTACCTTCTACTTATCTGTTCTTCCCAATTCCTTCCAAGTCCCTCCCTCTGTCAGTCCTGCTTGGCTCGGTGCTAGCTCTCTCACCTGTCATTTTTCTGGTGGTTCTCACAGGTAACATAGCCTTTTGATCATGAATTTGAGAAAATCGCTTGTGTCTTGCTGTTCCCTGAAGATAACTGATAGAGAGCCAGTTGAATATGGGGAGGGCCAAAGTAGAAAGAGCAGAAAGGAGGGACCTGCAGAGGGTGTGCTTAGGCACCACTGTGGAGGAAGAGAAGTTACCTTCAGCAGGAGAGTCAGGTAAGGAAGGTCCTGAATGTGTCCTCATTAAACAAGTGTGGACTTTTCAGAACATTTAGTGAAGTCCAGTGTGTACCAGCCACAGTGCTGTCTGTTTTCTAAATTTTCAGTCAGTCCTTATGACAAATACATGAAAGTTTTCATTTCATTGACAAATAAATGAGCTGCAGAAAGGTTAAGGTGGAGATGGGAAGTGAGAAGGAAAGCAAGAGTCCCACCCTGTCAGTGCCAAACACTTGAATTCCAGTGTTAGCAAGTTTCTTTCCCACGTGGTGTCCAGGACAGGACAAAAGCAATTCCCTGGTAATAACATTAATCTTGATAAAGCCTTGGTCTTCTGAGGAGCATGGAAATAGTTCCCAAACTGCTGAACATTGGAATCAACTGGAGATTTTTTAAAAATTGTGGCTTCCACCTTGATACATTCTGCTTTAATTGATATTGTGGGTGACCTGGGTTGGGGATTCTTAAAGGATTCCCAAGTGATTCTAATATACAGCAAAATTTGGTAACCACTAAACCATGGTATACATGGGAAACCTACATGGGAGATTAGTGAATAGGGCTTAGTAAAAAGACAGTGGTTCAAGGTATTGAGACAAGAGAATTCTTTTTGTTGCTATCATCTCCCAGTGAGTTGATATAGGAATTGGCAAATGGACTGAGTTTTACTACTTCATGCCCTGAAGTCATTTCTCTACTGGACCAATAGCTACAAAATCTCCTCTGTGCATATCTGTATCTTTCTAATTGGTAATAAGAAAATGATTGCAGGGTAAAAAATTATTTAGGAAAAACAGAATCCTGGGGAAGCCTTCAAAGAATGCATCCCTTTCTATACAACAACGAAAGCAGAATTTCAAATTGTGCAAATGAGCAAAAATGTCCATTCTGGGTGTCCTTTCAGAATTCAGACTATCCTGTTTTGGATATGTGTTGCCCAGTGCTACGAAGTTATAAGTGCATGCTTAATTTTTGACATGATTTTCAATTAACAAAATTTGATTTTGTACATCTTGCAGTAACATTTCCAATGTATAAAGAGAAGTATATATGAACAGTAACAGGTTCATTATTTCCTGCCAGAACTTCCAAGTAGCTGAAGTACAGATGCTTTACTAAGTGTACAGGCAGAGAAGCAATCCCTGTTACAAAGATTTTCCCCAAAGGAGGCAACTAAACCTATCCCTAGAGTATTACACTGCAAAAGGAGTTGAGACTGAGTCCAAATGTTAACTAGTGTGGCAACTTGGAAGAAAATATTTGCAATATCTAAAGCCACCTAAGAATTAGTATCTACATATAAGGAGCTCCTTCATGTCAGTCCTAAAAAGACAGGAAACCCCAGGGGGAAAAAAATTCTCAGAGAAAAGCCAATTTCAGAAGATGAAGCCAAAATGGGTAATGAGCAATGCTCCACTTCATTAGTAATCAAAGAAATGGAAGGTAAAAAAACAAAGAGAGACTTTATAACCATCAGATTGAAAAAAAATGATTATCAAGAATTAAAAAAACAGATAATATCAAGTACTGGTAAAAACATTGCTGGGCATAGAAACTGGTGTGGCAATACTAGAAAGTAACCTGGAAATGTTTGGTAAAATTAAGAATTTGACCTGAGATCTTGTAATCCCACTCCTGGGTGTAGACTAAAACCAAACATCACAGTATTGCTTCTATACCAAATCAAAACAAATTCAGAATGGGTGCAGTAGCTAATGCCTGTAATCCCAGCACTCTGGGAGGCTGAAGCAGGCAGATTGCTTGAGGCCAGGAGTTTGAGACCAGCCTGGGCAACATGGTGAAACCCTGTCTCTATAAAAACACAAAAATTAGTGGGGTGTGGTGGTGCATGCCTGTAGTCCCAGCTACTCAGGAGGCTGAGGTGGGAGGATCACTTGAACCCAGGAGGTAGAGGCTGCAGTGAACCAAGATCATGCCACTGCACTACAGCACTGCACTTCAGGGTGACAGAGTGAGAGTTCATTCCACAAAAACAATTAAAACTAAGTTTGAGTCTTTTGGTTACTATATGTAGAGATGAAGTAGACAGACTAGGGCCTGTACTTTTCCAGAACAAGCTGCCCCTGATCTTGGGCAGGACATGTTCTGATGAAGCCATCAATCTCAGCCCTGTAGTTATAGCCCTGTGCTATGCACATGGGAGGTCCTGTTCCCCCTTGAGGGGTAAACAAGTCATTTCTTGCTTTATAACTTTCCTCCTGTGTCTGAAATGATTGCCGCCAGGCAATAGCCCAAGGAAGACCAGGCTAAGGGACCATTTCCTAAGCATGTCGTTCTAATAACTTCTGGGTAGGCCTGTGCCTTCAGTTTTCCACTTCTGAGACTACTTTGATCATAGCTTCTCCTGTGATCATAGCTTCTCCTTTGATCATAGCTTCTCCTGTGTGTCCCCAGGCTCAGCCCTCAACACTTCCCTTTGAATTCTCCTTGGGGAACAACCATTAGCCAGCCTTCCCCTATGGCACCTCCTAGACATTCACATCTTTCATCGCACTCCCAGGCTAGAAATAACGTGAATAATTGTACCCTGACCCCAAATAATCACGAAAGCTCTAAAGAACCCAGATGTGTTACAAACAGAAACTCACTTTTCAGAATCACCCAACTGGAGCAGAATGAGCAGTGAGCTGAGAGTCGTGAAAGCTGGATTCCTGGCTTGACACCGGTCCTGCCACTAACTAGCTCCATGACCCTGAGCTTCACCCCATGGGCCTCACTGGCTTCCTTTGAAAGTAGCCGGGAGTGGCAGAATTGGTGGGATGGAGGAGGTGAAAACAACTCACAGTTTTAGAGGTGAAAAACCACCTCAGACCGTACCATCCTCTGAAGCAGGGCTCTATGCCTGTGTATTGGAAAGCTGAAACATGGCTCCCAGGGGCTTACTGTCAACCTTACCTCACCACAGTCATCTTTTCAAAACACAGATCCAGTTACGTGCCTGTGACATCCCCTTTCTCCATCTAAAATGTGTCAATGACTTTTCATTAGTCTTAAGAAAATGACCACAGCTCTCACCTCTGCCTACCAGGCCTTGCATAGACAGCCCCACCACAAACCACTCTCCTTCTGTCTTCATATTCCTGCCACACACTCCTCTTTTTAGTTCCCTCAATTCCTCAGGCTTCCTTCCAACTCAAAGTTTTTGTTTGTTTTTGTTGCTGTCGTTTGTTGTTGTTTTGAGATGGAGTCTCGCTCTATTGCCCAGGCTGGAGTGCAGTGGCGTGATCCCAGTTCACTGCAACCTCCGCCTCCTCAGATCAAGCGATCCTCCCACCCCTCAGCTTTCCAGGTAGCTGGGATTACAAGTGTGCACCACCATGCCCAGATAATCTTTGTATTTTTACAAGAGATGAGGTTTCAACATGTTGACCAGGCTGGGCTCAAACTCTTGACCACAAGTGATCCACCCACCGTGGCCTCCCAAAGTGCTGGGATTACAGGCATGAGCCACCGGACCCAACCCAACTCAAGGTTTTTTCTTTTTTCTTTTTCCTTTCTTTCCTTCTCTTTCTTTTCTTTTTTTTTTTTTTTTTTTAACATATCTGGCTCTCTCACTATGGAGTGTTTCTTACTCCACTCACCTTCCCCATTCTGCCTGGGTGAACCTGTAAATCCTCCCTCCCTTCCTTTCCTTAGACGGGTCTTCCCAGAAAATCCAGAATAAGTGAAGTGAGGTCTGCTTTGCTTGCATAAAACCATGTAATTTCCCTTGTGGTCCTTGTCACTAACATAATAAATTTATTGTATTTCGTAGCTTTAAAAAATCATCTGACTGTTCCATGAGGGCAGAGACAACATCTGTCTGGTTTCCTGTAGAAATCTCTGTTCTAAGCACAGGCCTGGAATACAATAATTTGCTATTTGCTCAATAAATATTGAGTTCCTGAAATAATGTATTATGATGGCCTAAAAGAGCTATATTTTGCTCTTTATAATATCAGAGAGCTTTTCTTTACAAAACTCATTCATCTTTTTTGAAGTTACTTTAGTGGAACCAAATAGCTTCCTATGGACATAAGATCAGAAAGATCAATAAAAGGAAAGAAAAATGTAGATTAATTCCTCCTTACTATTCAAGGTCTTAAATCTAGTATTGTAGAATCTTTAACAGCTGAATCTCTTTTCAGCTGTTATAGACCCGGTCAGGACCGGGCGCGGTGGCTCATGCCTGTAATCCCAGCACTTTGGGAGGCCAAGACAGGCGGATCACAAGGTCAAGAGATGGAGACCATCCTGGCCAACACGGTGAAACCTCGTCTCTACTAAAAATACAACGTGCTGGCATGCACCTGTATTCTCAGCTACTCGGGAGGCTG